TTAAGTTTCGTGAGCTACAGTTCGGCGTCATGAAATATCACTCTTCACCACGGTTTGAGTTAAACTGGTTTAAGATAGGTTACATAATATTATCATATTTGATTCGCTCGTGACATCATGAAGGTGGGACGTAACGCCCTGAACGGGGTTGGACTGTTACATAGCGTAATAGAGCGGGATCAGTAAAAACGCACCAAAAATCTCAAAATCTAGAATTCTCAATTAACTCCCAACGGTAGAGATAGGATTCAGAAGGGTAAGAGATATATTCCTAATAGCATGGTATATTGGATACTCCCTTCTCAGAGCTGAATTTTAGAGTCTTTATTTTGGCGAAAATATTTTGCAGCGAGGATTTGACAAAATTCACATTCAAGGTGAATCCATTTCCACGCATGAGCCTCTCCCCATGGCCAATACGTTAGTACTTTTCCGTTATACATTCACAGGTATATGGGTATCTGACGGCCTCCAGCCGTACTGTGCTTCTGGAGCATACAAAAATCTCTTCTCTAAGAGCCGTATCTACTCGTGATGTATTCAGTGCTTGATAAAGTGGTACCTTTTCCCCAAGCGAAAATAGGATGGGATACAAATCTATCTGCTGGCGGGATAACTGTTTGTTCCTAAGGCGCTGTACAAGCAGACATATGTAATAAATATATCATACCTAACTGGAACAGTGGTTATGATGCTGTGAACCAAGCGGCTTGCCCCAAGGTCCAATCAGAAGGAGATGGCATCATATCATAATATCATATTATTGAAGCTGGCTCTGGACTATACATACCTGGGGTATCATAGCAGGAAAGGGGGGGGAACGCGGACTGGAGAAACAAGGGTTAAGCCCTGTTCTGCGCGTGCAAATATTGAAACATCCCGATATAATTCCATCGTTGGAAAAACACTGTTCGCGGTGCCTCTGTTTTTTCTTTTTTTATCCCATGAGAAGGCGGGGGTTAGGAAGGAGGTCTAGTAAAAATATAAATAAACAGGCTCTGCTATGCCGTATTACCTATCATACCATGCTTGTAATGGGTGCTTTGGCCAGGTGGAGCTATTCGAGTGAGAGCTTGTGGTTAGGAGTGCTGGGTCCTACTTGCTACTGTGAGGGACGTCCGTAGCCGGAGCAAGAGCTTAGTAATAGTATGTTAACATGCCAAGCAGTGGACTTAATAGAGGTTAACTTCTTGGCAAATATCCATTAACTGACTGTGCCAAGGAAATTAACGGTAATTAACATGCTCCGGGAATTCCCCAGAAGTTCACCTAGTTTTAAACCCTTATCTCCATAAAAACTTGTGATATTTTTATTTTCTCTCTGTTAATTTGTAGAGGACCACCTACTATATCATCTGTAGAGCTATAATTCTCACCGGGCTGGTTTTTGAAAAGCCTTTGCGGCTCGAAGTTGAGCAATATTTTCTTGGCAAATTTCTCCGGCTACAGAAGATGTTCCTTCACGTAGGTGTGGGATTTTTTCCCCGAATTTTTTCTTCCCGAATTTTTCTTCCCGATCCCTCCTCCCCGATCCTTTTTTTTCCCAAGTTTTTGCCCGAAGTTTTTCTCCCGATCCTTTTTTCCCGATTTTTTTTTTCCCGATTTTTTCCCCGATCCATCCTCCCCGATCCGTTTTTCCCGAAGTTTTTTTTCCGATCACTCCTGCCTGATATTTTTTCCCGATTTTCCCTTTCTGTTATCCCGTGCAGCAAGGTGAGTCTGATGATATCGGGCCCGATACCCAGCCGAGCTCCAGGACGTCCTAGAAAGATCCGCCCTATCAATCCGGCCGGAAAGGTGTAAAATCTAGAACGATACGTGAGGTTCGTGTATAGCGATAGCATCGGCAGGTGGAGCTCCGCCTCCACTAACTTAATTTCTGGACCCCACTTTTCACTTTCCTATTTAGGAAGGAGGTTATGGGGCTCAACCCCACAAACACTCCCAAGAATCTCACGATCCTGCCTGCCACTGAACCCAGAGATTCATAAGTGGCTGGAATGGTATCCTCTGAGATAAGAACACCATGGCTAGCGCCACGCTGCTAGTCACTGCCTGTCTCACCTTCTTCCATAGCCCCGGACTCCAGATTTGGGACCCCGGACTTGGAGCAATGGAAGAAGAGTGATAAGGGGATTTCCCTGTGCTGCTGGGGGGTTTCCCATTTAAGAAAGATGCCAATTTGCTTTCATGAATTACAAACTGTGCTCAGTTGTGGCAGGACTGGATGTGAGTTTTACCGTTTATTTGTTGTTGGGGTTTCTGGGCCATACTCTAGAATACACACCATAAGTTTTCCTGTAGCTTTAGGGTTGCGAATAGAGTCAAGGATTTGAAAAGGGAGGACTGCAGGGAAAAGCTCCCGGTATCGGGGGAATAATTCAATTCTAAAGCTACCCAGTCCCATAGGAAAATAGTAAGGACAGGATACGAAGGAAGTTCCTGAGCGCCGGTTTAGATCCGTGCATTGCGGTGTTTCTGGTTGGTCCAGCGAATAAAGGTACGCGGATGGGGTGTGGTCGGTTCAAGATGAAAGCAGCCCTGTTTGGCAAAGTAGAGTTGGTGCGGACAGTGGCCTCCCACGCTTGCTCCTTTGAGATTATTAATTAACCACTTAGATAATATCAGAATTAATATAATATGTTATGAGTAATGGGCAGAATAGTATTCCCATCGTAAGTTCGTTTTCGGGTGACATTGCGTGAGTACAAAGTGGGCAGAATATGTAGCATTTCCTTTATTTGTTTTTTATTTCCGAGTGACAGGGTGTGAATCTGGATGGTTATCACCGTCTCCCCCCCCCCAACGCCCCACCTGCCACCAACGCAGCTCTTGACAGTCGTGGGTCCCAAGTGCAGATCGAGACAGCGTGCGAAAGCCCGGTTGGCTGCGTGTTGCGAAGCGCGGTCCCCTGAACCCCGAAAGTGCAGTTCTCCTTGCTGAATGGATAACTTTATGCGGCTTCCTGACTTTCCAACGTTCGTAAACCCCCTATCTTGGAGTGTAACTATAGCCTGATTTTTTCCGCAGTGGCTTTAGGCACTCAAGTAATGTCTTGCGGTCGCGCGGCAGTAGTCACCACGTATAGCGTGTACTATATAATGGGGCATATGTCTCCGTTCTGCTCGCACATTACATCTATCTCTCTGAACGTTCTGGGAGATTTCAAGAAAAAAGTCAAAAAAAATCCCGACCTTATCGCGAAAAAAGCCGCCAAAATTCTTCAAGTTAGCGAGCCTCAAGTTTAACCCTCTAAATGCCCGTTACATTCAGTCTGTGCGTTTGCGCTGGATTCAACGTCCTCTGTTGCCTCAGATCGACCGATAGTGCACGTGAGCTCGAGAGAGTCAATCCACCCACAATAATCGCGATTGAGCCTTTGGAAAGGCCCATCATGCAATTGCCGCCGGTTCCTCCTGCTTCGACCAAAGTTGCTCAGCTTCCTAGCGAGCTTCCCTCCGCAACTGGTCTAGGGATGGGTGGCCACTTCTAGGGAGGATTGCTTGGTACTTGGTATGTCGATCCGATGCTATGGTCATGAATAAGGCGCCATTATTGAGGGCGATTCATGGACAAAGTTCTTCCACTAATAGGGAGTAAAGTAGATGCAATAGAGAGAAGTGGGATGCCATTAGCAAAGACTTGAGTTATGGGTCTATGGATAGGAAGATATTACCTGGGCCTGCTAGTTTCGTCGCCGCCTACAACTTTAGAATTGTTTTGGGTCCTAGAATAGTGGAGAGTCTATTTTCTAAGAGTAAATATGAAAGGAAAAAAAAAAAAAAAACCTATCTCCGCTGTGGAGTTCGAGTGACTGCGTGTGATGTGATGATGGGGGTTGAAAATGGGCTAGACCACGCACAACAGAGGCTCTGGGTTTGTACCAAGACCAAGCCAGACCAGGGGATCTGAGACAGCAGGCGAGCAGCTCTGGCGGCCGACAACGCCAATGCCACTTTCTCACTGAGAGGTGGCGTTTCCCGGGGGCAACAATTGGTCCCCATTTAACCTTGCACCCGAGTACTTGAACTTGTGCTGTACTCGTACTGTAGGTATGCTGCATGTGTACCGTATGGGGAAAGAGCAACCAACTAAGGTAGACCAATAGCGACAGTTCCACCGGTCAATAGTGCATTGCACTTAAAGTGCGCACCGTGTGCTAAGTGCACGCCCTAAGTGCGCAATACAGTCGATTATGAATAACCTTAACCTACAAGGGGTTTCTGGTTGTGTTACAATAAGGCAAATGATTCATGGAGAGTTTCCTTATCTGAGAAGCAGAAGCAACACCAGCTCATCGAGTCGTAGAAATGAAAACTTGGAATCCTGTTGGTAACCATGCGAGAATACTGGATGCTGAACCCTTCCTGACGGCCACCTTTTCTTTGTCTCCATAGATAATATCAAAATTTACCATACGCTGCAAGTATTAAATTACCCACGGCATCGTTGGAAAAGCAAGGGTTCGTCTCGGGGACGTGTACCGCGAACGGGAGGGGTATTAACATCCCAATTCCTTCGACGCCCGAAACCGCACCTCAATGCCCTGCCCTGATTATCCGCAACCGTCAACCGTTACGCCTGTCATTATTGTTAGTACCCAGGACCCTCGGATAGTTGGGTGCAACTGGAACTTGTACCCCACAGCCCACTCGTCCTGCTGCGCCGGATGGTTCGGCACGGTATCACAAGTACCGAGTACACCGTAAATCGGCTACCGGTACCACACCCGAGTGTCCCCAGACCTACCGCACAGCATTGTCTCGGACAAGGAAGCCCCATCCCACCCCAACCACTCCCACAAAAGTGCGAGAAAAAAGGTGGGAATCCCCCAGCAGTAATACCGGTAGAGACCCGGTACTGGTACTTGTGTATCATAGCCAAGCTTTTCATCCCGGACACGGAAGCAAGGAGGCGAAGGGGGAAAATGATCTTCGGGCATCTTTTGATCGATACAAGTAGCTTCACCCCCGGCGGCATGACCTGGACTGGACTGCCTCCTTGATTTGCATGTTTTCCGATCCTTTTGACCGCAGGCTGTAATTGTGTTTTACCGTATGATAGTAACACCTTCTTCCCCCCTCCCCCCACCAGCTCATCCGGCGCTGGTGTTTTCCCTCTGACCAAACGACATTTACGGAATTTCTTTACCTCTGTTCGAGAACTTTAGCTTTCTTTGTTGTGATACTTTTCCCTTTTCCAGTTTTGGACTACAGTAGTGAGTGTTCTTGTTTCTTTGTTTTCTATGATCACGCGTTTGTTGAGAGATAGCGTGGGAATGTGGGAATGGTATAAATTTCGAGCCGTTACCTCTTTTTCCCTCCACTGTTGGTGGGAGTTTATCTGAGTACTTGTTGAGTTTACTTCACTTCTGCTATGATGCAGTGCTAATTCACTGATCGATGCTGTCGCTTCCTGCAGATGATTTGAGACTATTTGGAATGGGTTCTGTTTTCTGAGAGCTATTCTAATTTCAACAACCTTGTGTCAACCTCATTTTAGCACCTCTCAGGGTTTGCTACCGCAAGATCATACCACTCAGCATCGGGAGCAAGAAGAGAGATTGAACCAAAACAACAACAAGAGGGGGGCGGGAGAAAAAAAAGAAGGAAGAAAAAAGCAGCAACCACTCAACTCCGGCGAAACTTTGTCATTTTGGGTATAGAAGATGTCCTATACAAGTAAGAGAATAAAAAGTGAGAAGAAAAAGAACTCAAGCAACTACCAGAAACTCAGCAGCAATTCAAGTCCATACCAAACCACCATCCAATACTGGTAGGATTTTTTTTCTTTTTTCCCTCAAACAATCTGTCCTCCCCCGTTTCCCAAATCAGTATTCTCGGAGCCATTTCCAGTGCTTGCTTCCCCACTCTTAGGAGTTGCAGGAAAAGATCCAGTAAAGGGCTCAAGCGCTTTGGCCTGTGCCTCGTACTTGGCAATCAATCCCTGAGTCTTCTGCTGGCGAACACGAACAGCACGATAAAGCGAAAGTTCGTGGCTGATGATCTGGTAACTCGGCTCCTCTGGCCAGTCGATAGTGGTGGAGTCCGAGGAGGAGGGGGATGGTTTGATCCACGGCATGATGTCTTCCAAGACAGCAATTAGGTGTTCCGCAGCTCTGATTTTCTCGGCCTTAACGGTTGGGATATCCTTTCTCATATCGGCGGTGGAAGCGAAAACGTCGCTGTCCTGGATGTAGTCCCTGGCAATTTTCTTAATCTGCTTGGTGAGGATCCAGCCTCGGACGGTGGTGCGGATACCGAGTTTGACCATCATACGGCCGGTAGCACCAGGGACTGTATGGTTGTTAGTTGAGTTTCTTTTTTTTACTTTTTTTTTTTTTTTTAAAAAAAAAGAGATTTTTATAACAAGTATGAAGCAGCTTGCAGTCTTCAATAGGAAGAGCCCACAGTGGTATAATTACTATTTGATTATGAAGCAGTGAGAGTAGATATTAACTAGCTCTCTGAAAATAGAATGAGAGCAGGCAGGAATTATATAGCTATTTTAGGAAAAGGGAATACCGACATTGTTGCAAGACACAATTAGCATCTCTCTCTTCTCTCTCCTTAGCGCTCTCAATAAGAGCATCAGAGGTATTGAAGTTCATGTTTGTGACAGGTTGGCAACAGTTGGAAGGTGTTTTTTTTTTTCCCGGAAAAAAAAAATCTGGGAAGAATGTTAAGCTTCAGGCAACACTAATATAGCGACTTAGAAAAATTGAAATAAGGGGAAGACATACGGAAATAGAGAGGAGTGTGTTGTGCGGCTCGCAGTAGCTGTAATTGTGAGTGGAAGAAGGGAAGAGAGGGAAGGAAGGGGAAGGGTGTGAGAAGAAAAGAAGGGAAGATGGGAGGGCAAAAAATGAAAACCCTAGCACCTACGTCACGGGACTGAATCGGGACCTGAAGCTTGACCATGATACTTTTTATTTTTCAATCTCACCGGGGGGCAGATTAAGGCCCCCGGGGTATCCTCGAACCGCGCGACTCCAAATGTTATAGACGTGGGGGTAGTTGTTCTGTTAGGATATAAGGCATCTGACATTGGTTTAAAAGTAAAGCACGGTCATGAAATATCACTCACGACCACAAGAATTCTCTATTATATTATTGGATTAAATTTCCTTTAGTAATACAACACCGTCAAAGCAAACTTTACTTTGCGAAATAAAATTGAAGCATTCTATAATTCCTTAACCCCCTAGTATTTAGGTCCCTGGACGTCGATATCAGGTTAGCTTTCCTCAGGTCAATTCCTCCGGCTTACTCAGCAAACTTCCTGATCTCCCAATCTATCCATGATAGCTTAAGTCGTCGACAGTGGCTTAAGAACCCTGCGATCATTCTGAAACGGAGGTTCTTCAAGCACCAAGAGCTTCACAGGTATAGTTTAATAACAGTAGGGGGGTTGAAAAAAAAAAAGACATTTGTCGTTTGCCAAAAGAAGTTTAGATTGCCTACTTTTTCAGATAGGAGGGCATATGATAGGGAAAGGAGGAATACGCCCGCCGCCAGCGTATCATACCTCCGACCCAAGGAAACACGGGTCAGAGACACTTCCTATTTGGCACTACAACGGCATCAAGATTTTATACACTCTTCTCATCAAACCCTCCCTACAAACTCCCCAATAACGCAAATGATAATACAAGCTGGCATATGGAGGAAATGAGAGCACGGAAGTTAACCTTCCTTCCTCCCTTCCTCTAACCTCAAGCAAATCCAGTTTTCCATCACCAGGACGAAAACAGAACGGTGGAAAGAAAGAAAAAAAAGAAGAAAAAAAAAACTACTACTTCGGGGAGCACTGTTCAGGATGCGGTATTCCAGCAGGAGTCAGCGCATCGGTGGGTTTACACCACACCTCTAGTCGATCGGGCTCTACTTTCCCAACTTGCAGGCATTCATCAACGTATGCGCGGAAGCCTTCGTAACCGTCTCTGGTGAGTTTCTCGTAGATTTCCTCGTCACATTTTTTACTGAGATACCACCCCGCGGCGCCGAAAGTGTATCTTGTTTTTGTTAGTATGGGTGTTAAAGAGTAAGAAGGGGGGATTAATCGTCCGGAAGAACAAGTGCTAGAACAGCCTCCTACGTATCTTCCGGTATCTTGTCTATGGCCGCAGGGTTAAGGTACAATCTCGACCCACCCCGCAGGTTCGAAAGTTGTTCTTGAAGTTCCGGTTGGTCCCAGGCGTAGTCATATATGTAATTAAACAGTAACATTGCTTTCGCTACAACTCCCCGATCCTCAAAATCAGCAATCTACTCCTGGCTTCTCCCACCCCCCAGTCAGACCAAGAATACCCACTCCCCTGTCCTCGCCTCTTAGGCATGTGATTGATATTCATCCTAAATCCCGCGTTCTCGTACAGCATTGTAGCACCAACGTCGCCTTCTGCCCCAAACTTGTGAAATTATACTTGAGGAAGCTGTTGTTGATGTACCTCATCAAGGTCCACGCGGTCGTGCACTCCTCCTCACTGTGGATGTTACTCTGCGACGCGTTCCAGCAAGACACGGACAGCGGGGAAACGAAGAGGAGCTGGGACTCCGTTATGAGTCCGGATATGACCGTGGTGTCGAATGTGTTTGTCCACGAGGGAGAGCCCCACACTGCTGGCTTCCAGGCGCCCGGAGTGAAGTGATTGGCCAAGGTTAGGGAGAGGAGGGAGAGGAGGGAGAAGGTTGCCCGGGCCATCCCCCGTTTGGAACGGGGGGGTTCTTATTCTGCTTTGGATGTACTGTACTGGAAGGTTAATCAGTGGGTAGATATATATATTGGAAAGTGAGTCAGTAAATGTGGGCAAGCCTTCGCGATCGACACCCCGTATAGCGCGATATCCTTCCAGCAAGCGAGCGGTCTAGCTCCTAGTAGTACGAATAAAAGGTAGCAATTGTGAAAATCTTTTAAGACCAGATGGCATAGTTCCTCCCCTTTATATATCCCCCTCAAATCCCTCTTCTCCGAGCCCACTTATACCCAGCGCTCAGGATATGAGTGCGAGATCCGCCTGCATACTAGTGTTATTTATTATTGGAGGGGGGCCTGTTCGGCTGGTTTGCGCAGCCAACTTTTTGCTTCCGGATCGGGGAGGGCTATAGTCCGGTAAGTGAAAGACGTGCTTTTATCATGGACATAGTACCACTATAGCCTCTAGGGTAGATTAACATTGGGATCCTTGGCGGTATGCGAGATGCTGGGCATCGCCGGCTGCCGGGAGCTGTACTCATACGGTATAGCATTTGAATTTGACAGGGGTCAATTATTACGATATCTGAAATAGGTTTAATGGTAGCACCTACTTATCGCATTGTACTCGTATCATATTGTACAATAGGCAACTAACTTAAACCCCATTCAGCCCAAATTCTCAATGCAGGTACCCACCCAAACCCATGCACCTGCAACCAAGAGTATGACACCAGTAACGCTAAGTACCGTATTGGACTAACACTTCAGACCTATGATACCCAGAGTGCACAAACCCATCCCCAGCACGATTTCAACAATGCCATTCCGAAGAAAGGGAGAATCCCCGGCTCACTCAAAAAAAAAAAAAGAACATGATCTCACAGGCATAGCACTTCCTGCGACTCGGCCAGTGGGCTAGTAAGACAAAGTCGAGCCCGGGCTATTCAGCTATTAACCGGGGGCAGAGAGGAGGGAAGAGAAAGAAAAGAAAACCCATCCTATCTTGGAGGAGAGACCCACAAACGTGAGCAGGATTCGCTTTATTTGTTAGTACGAGTAGTGCTGATGTCACGGAAATCGTGCACGGATCTGTCGAGCGCAGTGACGGCTTAGTCACGGCCCTGGTGGTGGTAGGGCTTATGCGAGCGGAGGGAAAGAAAGGAGGAGTTAGGGCAAAAAAGGTTGTAAAATGTATCATAATATTATTATCATAGATCTACCAAGAAATTACCACTCGGTGTCCATCCCTACGAAGCATTGTCTGGGAGTGAAAAGGGGTGCACAACGCTCAAGACCCGCGATACCCCACTAGCGTCTTGCAGAGCGCGAAGTGACGGGCTTTCAGAAACAGCTTCCATAGCAACTTATTTTCTCTTTCAGTTAGGTTACAAGCACGCTAGTATGATAGTTGGAACGCAGCTACCAGCCCCCCGCCCTCTGTCTCGCCTGAAGACCAAACATGAAAAGCCCCGAATGTCAAGATGTCATACAGGGCTGAAGCTAATGATGCTTTATCGAGTCGATTACGCTACACTGCTGGGGCTCGCTGGAACGTCATTCCGGGGGCGGGGAATAAAGGTGTAGTTATAGATTACGAGTGAGGACCTATGGAGTGTGTGGGTTGAGCAAGAGTAGAGAAACTCGAGATTCATTGCATAGGGTAACAGTATATCGCCTTTCATCCACCACTACCATACCTCAGCCGTCACAACCGGGCACCATATATATCGCTAGTAAGACTGGTTATGAATAACCCAAGTGCTAGCTTTAAACCCCTGGACACTACCTCCGCCTTGTTTGCCCGTATCCAGTACTTGAATGTCTCGTAGCTCCAGCACTGCTACTTTCCCCACCTCCACCTGCACCACCGCCGCCCCAACTGGGACCTCCGTATCCGCCTGACGGCCCACCACTCGACTGGAACCATTGCGGTGCTGCCTGCGTCTGATTCGCCCTGTCTCTGTTCCCCATCAGGTACGACCCTGCCGCGCCAGCCGCGAGCCCCGACCAGAACCCAGGACGCCATTGCTGCGAAGAGGAGGATGATGGGAACGCCGGTTTCAGGGGTGGGCGGGGGTCGTACGGTGGTGGGGGGTCATCTCCGCCACCGCCAAACCATCCGCTGCCGCCACCAGGTCGCCGTGGCTGCCTAGTTCTCGGCATTGTATTATTGCGGTGTTTGTACCCAGAGTACAGGATCCATGCCACGACTCCAAAGAAGAATGCCCAGGTGAGGAAAGTTCCTGCATCTGCTCATGCGTTAGGTGTTTGCTTCCTTGATTGATGGAAAGGTGGGGGGAGGGGGGAACCTATGCCCTTCGATGGCAATCGTTTAAACACCGACCCACCATACTGGAACTTTTCGTACCCGTAATCCGTGAGTGCGAGCCGGTACTCTACCCCGCAGGAACCTGTGCCGCTCGATGTTTAGCCCCGGGGAGGGGAAGGGGGCCAAGGCGTGGAAATGTGGCCGGGTAGGTATCATACCTTTGAGGACGTATTGGTCGTCCGCGCTATCGTAGCTGTATTATGGCTAAGTTAAGCATAATGCCTATGAAGAATTCAGCTACTAGATAAGTGGCATACCCCTCACATACAACGTCAGTAGAACCAAGTTTGAACTCTCGTGGTAGATCCGCAGTGCATGCCCAGCTCACGTATTCGTCGTTATAGTCACTATCTGAAAATCAACAACCAACCCCTGAATGGTTGAAGGAGACATTCAACCCACCTCCCGACATTCTTGCACCTCATAACATCGATCTCATATTTCCCCCTACCCTCTCCACCCACGCATTTTAACTACCGGAGTTCGTGAACATCTTAGTAAGCTCGTTTAATGAGGATTCGCGCAGCTTCCTTACCTGCGGAACTGCCGGAACCCTCCGATTCTTTGTCATCTGGTCGCTTCGAAGCGTTAAGGCGGGAACCTCGGAGAGGAGTATTTTTTGACCAGGTTTTAGTTTTGCTGCTGCCACCGCGGTGGCTAGCAGGAAAACGGTAGCGGTAGAAAGCTTCATTTGGGGTCTTGGGGTTGTTTGGGGGACTTGTTGGAAATAAAGTGGGATCTTGTTGTGGTGGGCTGGGTTGTTATTACATACGAATGAGGCTCAAAGGACACCGTGGCTTGTTACGCCACATTTTATGGCGGGGGTACCAGCTAATTTGTGAGGCTTGGCTTGAAGGCTCTGGCTCTCCTCTCCACACCTTGCGATAGAAAGGCTTCACGACATGATACACAAGCACCACCCGAATGGGGTAAGAGCAATTTTAGGGTTGATTCAATTCGGGAGCGACAGTTTAACTAAAAACAAAATGAAACAAAGAAGCTTGAGAACAAGAGGTGAGTTCCACTATTTTATTCCCAGACACATTTGCTCCCTAAACACCGAGGGTCAACTGTCAGCAAAAGGTCTAAAATACAGGCAGAAGAGACTCACAGCGATACCTTGGATTGACAAGGCTTAACAGACGTTTAACACAATTCCGCAAAAACCCATGCACACCCCACCAACACCCCCGAAGCAGTTCCGCCGTAATTCCGGAGGCGAGACTGCTGGCGGGACGCCCTCAGACCTGTGTCTGGAGATCCGTCCTCGCGTTGCTTTGCGAGGCAACAAAACCATCATTCTGCATATCGGTTAGCACAAATAACCCTGTACGACAGAATCTCCCCTTTTTACCATCGTAGTATTCATCCTCATCCTCGAGTTCATGCAATTGCTCAAAGTTAACCTTGTACCTGAGCAAAGCCCCAATTCCGCCAAATCCCTTCACAAATTGGTTGCCTTCGCCGGAGCGATCAGAGACGAACTCTAGTGTAGCACCAAAGTCCTGATACCCCTCCGCCAACCACTCGAGGAAGGATGTTTGCTCAACAATCTCCATTTCTTGCCCAGAGGCCTTGTCCATGAATTTTCCGCGATCTTGCTCTTGAATCTTATTGGTGTGGAGGGTAATAAGGCCCCCATCGGAATTCTTGAGAACCCAGCGAGTCACATCGAGATTTTCAAAGACGATAACAGCTATAGCCAATATTAGCAACTCTTTTATCGGTTGATACGGCGATAAATACTCTCTGCGGCGCCCAATTCCATAGCCTTCAGGGTATCCTCGATGCCATAGCAAACCTTTCCAGTATCCTGGGATAACTCCTCAAAATACTTGTTGATCAACTTCTTTTCTTGAACGAATTTCACGTTGCTCAAAGTCTCTCCCGCCAACTCGATAGCCTGATTAAACCCGTTCTCACCACCGTAGGACACATCGACAACCTGGATAATCTTTACTTGCAGGCGCTGATCAAAGAGTTCACTTTGGGCAAGGTCGGTCTTGAAGTCGGCGGATCCGGCAAGAATCAACCCGGAAACGTTGACCTTGTCATTGGTGATAAAGTTTTGCACGGCCAATTCAGCCACCTTACGGACATAATTGTGACGTTTTTCCTCTCTGAGACGTGCGAAACGCAAAGCGGACTGACCGCCGCGCCCATGCTTCTTAGGGAGGGCGACAGAGAACTTGTGGATGATTTCTCTGGTGTTTCCGCTCAGGGTTCCGAATAGAGCACCGCCACCATCCATCACGATAAAGCCAAACTTAGAGTCAGACTCCAAGAGCTCCGATAGTGCCTCGGTATGGAACTTGTTATCGCAGAGGTACAGAGAGGTGTTGATTGGCTTGAAGGGCTCAAAGTCAATATTGATTTTACGCTCTTTGCCCTCGCTTGTGATGATTTCACCACAGTAGACGACGAGCCCGTTGGGCGGAACCTTGTTGTACAGTTTGAGACGTTGCTGGGTAGAAGTAATAGCCGAAAGAACTGAGAGACGATTGACACGGGATTTGATGTTGGATGCGGTGCCGTACTCATCGGACAACATCTTGCCCACACGAGAGATTTGATCCTTAGGCGGGATGATCAGAGAGATCATGCTGGTGCCGTTACCGCGCGCTTCGGTTAGACGTTTGATCAGTTTTTTGATCTAAATCGCCATTGGGTGTCAGCTGGTGAAATCCATTGGGAGCAGCGAACTCACCTTCCAGATCTCGATGTTCTTCTCCATGTCGTTCGCTTGAGACATGATGATGATAGGTTGGATTTTTATTTATTTATTTTCTCTTGTCTCTGCTCTACTCCTATGTGTTGGTTGGGTTTACACGAGGAGTATTTGGGAAAGAAAGAAAGGAAGTGAAAAAGGTGGTGGAGTGTGGGAGGGTGCGGGGAGTTCGGTAAAAAGGAAGATGTGAGGGCTGAGGGCACTCTGTCTGATGTGTCTTGGCCTGTAGGGAAGGCTGGCCTAACCTAAGGGCGTTTAGCTCTCCTGCTCAGCCCAATAGGACAGCATGAAAGTATCGACCAGTACCGTGCAAGCGCAAGTGCAAGTACCTTGCCGGTATCGGAGTAGACAATGATAGTGTCAAAATTAAATATATTTGTTATGACCTCATAATATCAAAACCGCTTTCGACGGTACTTGTACAGTACAGCATAGCACGGAGCGTCACTAGAACATATTCAAGAGACCTTAAGAGCTTACCCGTAGGAGGGGAGAAAAATTGTATCGTATCATAACCCAATAATACCTTTATTTTTTCTCTCTGTATGATATACCAACATGCCAGTACAGTACACTCTTGGAGATAAAAGAAACCGACCGGTACGGTACCCCCCTACTAAGCATAATCAAGTCCAACGATAAAATACCCTCAAAATGATGGCAGTCCTACTTCAAATACCGCAAAATTCTCATCACGATGCCCAGAACGGCCTAGAGTACTATTTTTTTTTGTGTTCGGGCCCTTCGAAGCGCGGAGTTTCAGGAGCTGTTGGTCGGATACGGTTGGTTGGGTCGTGCACTAGCCTTCAGGTATGAGCTGGTTGGCAGATGGTATTTATACCAGAACATAATTATTATATAATATCCCGGGGCTAGACAGTTCAACCGGTTGAATTGGCTCCAAGCCGGCCGGCAGTCTTTGTCATTCCTTTTATCTGGCTTCAACTTCACCTGAGCTCACTAACATGGCGGAGTGGCTGCCGTCGGCTTGGATGTCTGTATCCCTTGGAGGTGCGCTTCTTTTGTCTGTAATCTCACTCCGCTTGGTATGACACCTGGAAAACAGGAATACCGGTGATTGGCTATCGCGCTAAGACCGTGGGGTTACCTCTCGTGGTAAGGTTGATTATATTTTTCTTTCTATCATCTGTCTTGCTGGGGAGCTGAAAGGCAGGTTTTTATTTATTTATATATATTGATGTGCTTGTACTGTACTAGTACTCTTCTCCATTATTATAATCTAAAGGGGGAATTTCTGTACCGTGCAGTGCGTCTTAGCACAAGGCCCAGCTTTTTCAGTTCACAGTAGAGACTTTGCGATTTCGCATCCAGTGTTGGGAAAATGGCTTCAATGTGACGGAAGTGTATCTGGTCGGGCATGGTGGCAACTAGTCTCAACAGCACCGTAAATAGATAGCTCCCAGAATTATAAGTACCATCACCTGGTGCCCAAGTAGAACAGCAACCAATCATTGGATTTGTCTTCTCAAGCACATACTCTTCTCATACTCTGTGATCTTCCAAGCTCCTACCGAAATTGCTCACATTGCATACGATATTTCCAACATCCAGAGTCAAATTCTAGCGATCTCATTGGCCCAGAACCCCGCTTGACCCACATCCAGAGTCTTCTCGCAAAGTCCCTACTAAGCACTACTGTGATACACTGGTGGTGAGGTCGGTAGTGCGGGCGATCCCCAATGGCTGGTGGGCCTGGCAACGAAATTTGCGGAAACGGGTGTCTGTGGTGACGTGGGGCTTTCGGGGACTCCGCTACTGTAGCTTAGGGAGGACATCTATAGTAGGTGCACCGGGAGGGGCGATATTGTTTGAGTACTGTGCAAGCAGGATACGATACCGATCCCAAACCTTCCCTCGTGCATCCCTGCACCAAAGGCTCACAATACACACTGTTCCATTACTTTTGGCCGCCTCCTGGCCATCTAGTTGGTCTGGTATTATATATTCCACAGGAGGGGAATAGTTCGTTGAGTCTTCTCCCCTTGCGGCTTTTGTCGCCCATGAGGCTCCTAACAACCCCCCCAGCTCGTGCTTCCTCCCAGAACTGTTCATGGAAATCGAACTCTACCTTGGAGATATCATTTTCCAGATGTTGCTTTCAGTAGCTTGCTGTGTGACTTGGGACATTTTGTTTTATGTCGCAAGTGCTCTTACAGGTACAGTACTCTGTGAATACAAGAGAAGTAAGTTAGGAAGTTGCACTCCTATTAGTGCCGTACAGTACTCAAGGAATTACCTCTCGTAGTACATGACTTGTCTCAAGCAAGGAGTACGAGTGCGGTACTGGTACGGCACAAGTGCTGGTACTTGTACCTAAAATTAGGGATCCAAGAAATTCACGACAAAAAAGGTTAGTGCCCGTTATGTCTAAGTGCTGGTGTTGGTAGTGCAGGGTGCGCCCCCTTGTCTCCGAGCACTTCTTGCGAGGGGCAAATCTGGCGCACTGTATTTTTATTTGTCTCCACTAAGGGCCAGGTTTGATGTGTGTACCCTACCCCTATCTCAGAATAGAATTTCAAGGACCTACCGGTAAGATAGCTCATTTCACTTAAACCCGAGTACTGCACTCGTGCACTTACCCTACGGCATTCCTCCTACCTTATCTTTCTCCCTCGTACCAGCAACAGCGGGCCCCCACAACTGATTTACAGCCAGAGTTATGAGTGCCGACACCGGTGACCCCAAATCGAACACCACGGCTTCGGGTGCAGATAGAAAAGGGTTTGTTTCCAGCTTCTGCATGTCTGCCGACCTTTTTCTAATTGCTCCAGTGCTCAACCACGGTCACCTTTCGAAACGCAGATATTTCAAATCACGGCACAAGGTGGGGAGAGATGCTTCTACACTCATGCAAGCATCCTGTCCAAGTGCTCGGGGCCATTAAGGAGCGCAGTAGAAGGCGATTGGAAGGAGTCTTCAGAGCACATAATCAATCTGAATGACTGGGATGGCGGTACGGTTGAACGGTTGCTTCAGTTCCTCCATACCGGTGGCTATCAGTGGCCATTGCCGGAGAAATTAGTGGCAGAAAAACTTGGTTTCACTGAAGCGAAAAACAAAACTTTCACCTTCTCATCACCTCCCACAACGAAAGCCGAATCTTACGAGATATGTCGGCCCCTAACTCCTATTGACCAACTGGTCGTGGCCGATGAAACTCCCATCATACAGTCGGACTACAACGCTTGGCTAAGCACCATAAAGCCATCGGAATACGACCTTGGAGATTTACTTCTATCCCATGCAAAGATCTATGCCCTCGCCAGCTACAAAGACATTGAGGGCTTGAAACGGATGGCACTCAATCGTACACTCAAAACACTTACGGCACTCGGCACCATTGAAAGTGGCTCTCGCGAAGTTACTCATATCACTCAACTTCTCAAGTATGTGTATGAAAACACTACTCCACTATCTTCTAGTCGGGAGCCGATGCGCAAGCTTGTTGTGAGATTCACTGCATTGAACCTTACAATCCTAAACTCCGACAACAAAATATCTGGTTTGATGAGTTCAATTGGCGGGCTTACCGAGGACCTCATGTCTGATGTGACTAGAAGAGTGCAAGCGTTCGAGCTTGCGGATTCTATCACGGCTAAGCTGTTTATATCAGATTTAGAGGTTTGTGCTCTGTCCATATATCACTGAAAAGCGGCTATAGCTTGGATCTCACATATTGTTTCTTTGTGGTCTCGTTACTGATGCTGTGAAAAGGTACGAATCGGCGGGGAAGAGCCCTGGAATTGTGTTCGGGAGTACAACTGGGGAGACCCTAACCTTAATTCGGGGATTCCACTTCCGTAAGTCTCCTACCTCGCTCTGGCTGGTTACCCATCCTAGGCAAGAAGTATCCGAGCATAGGGATCAGAAGGAGATGTGAGCCGATCATCAGTATGATTTCATGTGCACAAGCAAGACTGAACCCACAATTTTCGAGCAACTCTTGCCTGGGACAATTTTGCAGGATCTAAAAAGTTTGTCAGCTCTAACCTTGGAAAAAAAAAAACAGTCCAGTTTGGCTTGTGCCAAAGTATACAGAAGTCGAAGAGCAAGCTTGTACCTCTTTTGAAAAGTGTACTGTGCTCACCGGGGGGTATATCCACGACAAGAGCGATGTGATCCCGTTTCCGAAGGCGAAGGGAATTTTGATGCCATGCAGGGATGGGCCTTCGAGGATTCGGCATGTTCAGTTACTCCGCACCTCGACCGCTACCACAGCTCTCATTATGGGCCAACAGGTGGGCAAGACTGGGGTCTTGGAATGTATTAACTATCATTCACCACCCGGCGCTTCGGGGATATCGTATACATACCTCCACCTCATGTGGAAATACTGATTTCTCGTTCTGTAAGCAAACTCTCTTATCTCCCACTCTCGATTCTACGGTGGAGGGTTTAAATATTACATCGCTAAGTCAGATTATTCGGTCTACAGAAAATCCTACTAATTGACGCAACTATCGAAACTTGGTGGCGAAGCGGATTCTTGGCTTTGTTTGTTTCCGCTGAATTCTTCTATTTTTAGAGAGTATAGCTTCTGTGCGGGACCGCTTAGCTATAACTTAATAAATTTTTATCATACTATAAAAAGGTGGAAATTTATATCCCGGGGTTATGGAAACTTATTATACAAATGTCCAGATAATGATGACTTGAAACTCCTTTGCTAATTGATCCTGATATTGACCCTATCTTATTAACGTCCTCAATTTTTCTGATAACATTGTGATCTAAATTAGGACCATTACCATTTGCGTCCCATACCAGCCCCACCAGATCCCCTCTAGGGCATCTGGTTATGCAGTATTGTTTTCGCGTGCTATGCCATTAGATAAATCTAACGATGCCGCTTCTATTTTCTATTTTCTTCTTATGATACGCGCCGCCCTTGCGCATTGAGCATTGAATCTTTGCCTGTTCCGGCCTTCCTCCACTCTGCGCCATTTGTCATGGTACAGTACTGTAAATTGGGGTTCAGAGCTTCGCTTCCACGGTAGCGGTGGATTGTTTTACCGTAAATAGGGGTAGGCCATTCGCTTGCTCTCTTTGCCCCGATAGGCCCCTGCCGGTGCCGAAGTACTCGAGTGATATCTTGCCGTGTTTGGCTCGCGCCCTAGTATTGGTAGCGCCTGTTGGCTGGCTCGAGTATCATTATTTGTCAGAATGCTGTTTCTTCAGAGTCCATACGGCAGTGTTTTTTTGTTTTTTTCCCAATTTTTCTCTCTTTCCGATTCTGGAATTGTTGGCGACTGGAGGTATATAGCTCTTGGTCTGCCATTAGCTAGGTAGCGTTTTTGTTAATTGATCCCTTAGTTAGGAAACCCCCTTCTGTTGAGATTGTAATTTGGCTGGTCTGTGGGAGTTGTGGTCTCAACAATTCCTCGAAGCAGACTTATATTACAATGAATCATCGTGATCCTGAACCTGATGATCGGGGGACTCTCTATCAGAATACAACGACTCTACCGACTGATCCTTGACACCATATACACCTGGAGTAACTTGGTGGATATGTGGCTTTCAATTTGATCGAAATGCTTCAGCGTGACCGATTCCACGTCCCTGAAACAATAGCTCGACAATGTGTCCACCAAAGGAATCACTTCCGAATTGAGAATGGTGGATGCTGTCTGGCCTCCGGATGTAGAATAGCTCACAGAGTTGTACAAGTAAGATACCCGCATCAGAGCCAACGCCTCAAGCCTAGCTTTCTCGCTACTCAGCACTTTTATCGGTTCTATAGTCGCACTATAAACACCCTTCTAACCCGGGCCAAAGTCATCTGCCCGACTTTCTCCTGCCAACTAAAGGCCGTGGTTTCGCCAAGGATTGCATCTGGAGGTGTTTTTGTTAGTGATAAATGCGAACTAACTTTAGATCTTTTTTACCATGCTGCTCTCTTACGTCTTGGAAATAATTTTCAATTATTCCTCCCTTCCAATCAATACCCATTACGTCTAAATGCATCGCTACCCAATCTCATCATGATATATCCTACGATATCATCATTGTCGGGTTTTACGGACAGAGCGGCAGCAGCGTCCTGTCAATCTCGCTCTGGATCAGTCGTCTACCGGCTAGGAATCTGCGTGTCATTAGGGGGGCTGCCAGGATTTGTCTTAAGGAATTAAGAACCAAGAACTACAAGTTGGTGCCCTCCCACAAATTCGTCAAGAACACATGAGCTCCCGCTCTAAAGACACGACGGTCCTCCTTGCTGCTTGGAAGTACCTGCCGTCACACCCAGTGAGCCCAAGATTACCAATGCGCCGCCCCACGCCCCTCCGGACCTGAGGCTGGCCGTGGCCTGGTCCTCGTTACGAAGCAGTCATTTGCGGCGCCTGGTGGGAGTTATGAGTTCCTTGGGTTTACGCATGTATTTGGTTGTAGTAACGCTATGTCTTTGGTGGTTGACGAGAAGGTCCGGGCCATGATTGTTGAACATTGCCCTGAGACTATAATTGAGTTGGAAGCAGTGGTTAGGGGATTTATGTCCAGTGCCGGTTGTTCTGTCCCGTGTGGACTTGATCCTAACTCCACAACTGGCCTGTTTATCCGGCCTCATTCTGACCGGGGGTCTTTGTTTACTCTATCCTACGATACCTTGGATCCTAGTGACTCCTAAGCAGTTGTTTCTGAGTCTTCGGTTCTCCTAACAACTAACACTCCCTACGCGAGTGTGCCGGTCAGCTGGGCGACCACACCCCGTTACGCAACTACGGGCTCGGTTACGAATTCCTCTTTCGGCCCGCCACCTGTCGTACCTAAGCGCTCCTCCCTCCCCTCATACTTTGATGCCCTGTGTTCAATTTTCCCTTCTAAGTCACTTGTACTTGTGATAAGTATGGTAGACTTGATAAGATAAATATCCTTAAGACTAGTAAGATAAATCCAAGCTTGTGTGCTCTATTAACAGGAAGGAAAGTTTTTTTTTTTTTTTTAATTGATTCATAGTTTATTGTTTATGGTACAACAACTCGCTTACAGCAACTAGGCTATGGCAGAAAAAACATCATGCAGGGGGGAGAACCACGCAAAAAACCAATATCCTGCAACTACACAAACCCCCAAACTATCCCGTGAACTAAACCAAACAAAGGAAAGCCAAAACCTAAAGACCTAACCCCTATAGCCATGGCCAAGGTCAGGATTTATATCCTGAGGGATACTGGAAGATAACACTGAGATTCTGCTAATCTGATCATGATACGGCAGGCGGAGGAGTCCTATAGACCTAGCAGCAGAGGCAAAAGGAGAGACCCTGGAGGTTAGAGCCAACACCTAGCAGGCGAGGAGGCAAGATGGCAGGGGCCAAGGTGTACGAAACATGTAAAAAATGGTTCAAGCAGTCATGGGAACTCGTTGGACCCAAAATCAGGATTTTTGGATGGCCCAAGGAGCTGGTGGAGTAGAAGCAGTAAGGAGACAGCTCATGTAGGGTAGCAGTAAGGTGTCAGCTCATGTCGGGTAGTAGTAGGGTGCTGGTCAGGCAGTAGGATGCTAGTCATGCAGCAGTAGGGTGCAAGCCAACTGATAGAGGAGGGAGTAGGAAGCAAACAGAAGACTGGGCCGTGAGGGCCCCCGAAGCAATGCAGCTGAGAAGCTGCAAATCCAGGATTACAAAAGCCATGTCCAAACCCTCAAATACTGTTGGTGTCTTACTGCTTCTCTCATGTAGTCCCTTGTTCTGAGAGAGAAAGTATTACTTAGTGCAGGGGATTCCACCACCAGCAGAGCGAAAGGGTATGGCACTGTTAGGCGGCAGCCAATTCTAAGGCAGATGAATTGTAACTGGGGCCAATAAGGTTTCTCAGAGAGTGGTCAAGAAAGCTTATAACAAAAGTATGTATCAAAGTATAACGAATATGTTAATAAGATCTCTTCTCCGTTTGGTGATGATTCGGAAAGCTAAGAAGGTACCTCGACATTCATATTTCGCGTCAGAGTGGTCGCGGGCTACATCTATCTATTACCAAACAATGTACGGTCCTAATTTCCATCTCCTACTATAGTATGGGGATTCCGTTTGACCCTGACAAACTTTGCGTCTTGTTCGGACTACGGTCTCCATGCATTGTTGTGTTTCCGCGAGGGCGTTTGAAACCTCTCCGGCGAAAATGCATGATTCCCTCGTCTCGGAGGTTTGGGTATGGGCGAGTGGTCTCACTTCGAGCCAACTCACCATCCTCCTTACTCTGACTGGAGTGATCAGCTCAGTCGAGAGTCTTATCAAATGTCCCGTTGTCTTTGCAACTTACCTGCATTGACTTTGAGGACTTTCCACCAGGATCGGACTAGTCAACGTCATGGGAAAGTTCCTCATCCACACATAGGCCTCCGGTTGGCTCTACACTGTGTGAGTACTAGACTGGACTCCGCGCCTCGTCCTTACGTGCATGTCCCAATAACTCATTGGACTCTTGGCGATTTTGTCCCAATACTTTCTGTCCATATCCGAGTTGGTCAACCTTGCTTAGCTCGTAGCTCTACAGTTACCCATCCGATTGACTCTGTTCCACTTTTTAGACACGGCCTGAGATCCCCTCTTATATATCCTGCGAACAGCTTCTGGTCGGACGGACGGCGACGACGTATACGGTATTATGAAGCATGCTTCGTGTTCAGTGGTTTATACGGTCGGGACACCAAATTCCAGCAACACTATTACTGCGCGCAGGGCTAATGGCGGGGCCGGAGGGGGGTGTTGGCCATGAAATCTTTGTGGTTTTCAGAAGGTCTGTGCATGAGGAAGGTCTGTGTGTTCATATGTGTAACAGGCACTAAGTGATCAATAACCCAGACGACTACCTCCAGATTGACCAAAGCCAGAGACCTCCCTAGCTGTCGATGTGAGCGACCGTGGAAACCAAAGCGAGGTGCAAAGGCAGACTGAAGGGAGGGCGAGAGGTAAATACAGTGTGGGCCTAAGAGGTAAGGGAGGCGGCCCAAGTACCCTAAAGGGGGGGGCGGGGGAGGGGGCTCATGATGATTTCTTGTAGTATTGAGATTTCAATCAGGAGGTGTAAAGATGCAGAAGTCAATGTTAACAGGAAGGAAAGGGTTTTTTTTAATTAACTCATATATTCTTTTTTAGGATACAAGAACTCGCATATAGCAACTAAGCTATGGTGTAAAAAAACCCCTATTAAATCAAAACAAAAACAAAGAAAACTACCAATGCTATCCTGAACTGGCCAACTACAAAATACTGTAAACAGGTAACTGGTCCTCATGTACAACACAACGTGTGTGACTAACATAGTAGGAAAAAATAAAAACCTAAGCCAGCAGCCAAACTGCGCCAAATCTTCAACTATCAAGGAAACTAAACAACCAAATGTTATCTCTGTATAAGGAAAAATACAACACACGATCAACTAGAACAACCTTCAAATAGATCCCAACCTAGGCAATCTAGTAGGTGTGGCCGGCAGCAGTAGTGAAGAGGGGGATGGTAGCGGTGAGCACTACAAAAAAGTGGGGAGGTAGTTGATGCAGGGGGCATGAATGAAAGCAGAAAGAGCCAACAGGGTAGTGGCATCTCCCCAGAGTAGTGCATCGAAGTTGATGGAGGTGAGAGCAGGAATATCCTTTTCCCTGAGGGTTTGGGTAGCGGGACACTAAAGGAGGGTATCCTCCATGTCTTCTTCTGCCCCTTTACACCAAGGCCAGGCGGAGAAGTGTTCAGTA